AAATGTGTAGAAATAAGAAAAGGCGTCACCAAGAAAAAAAGTCGCAGAAATACAAGAAAATTAAAAAAAAAGTAAAATTAATCATTTCTATGAAGATGAAAAGGTATACAAAAAAAACACTCGGCAAAAAATATTTACATGAAGGATAAGGAGGAAAATTTACTAGGAGGAAAAAGCGAGCAAATGCAAAGATTGAAACAATACTTCCAAAAATTACTGAACGATGAACCTGAATTTTGCAGGTAGGTATTGTCAAAAATGGAATCAGAAATATTTTTTAATTATTTATTTTATCAAAATATATTTTTTATTAGTCGAATAATTTATTCTCATTTATTTTTTCCTAATTAATCACTTTATGTTCGAAGTATTATACACTTTGAAAAAATTAACACTCATTATAAATTCAATACAGATCCGTACCAATAAAATTTGGATTACGGTCCGTATTATCCAAAAACCATCATTGAATACCATTGTGTAATACACCACTGGATGCAGGATGAAAAGTTATTTCAAATAATGTTTTAAAATATCCAGGTCCATATTAAAAAAAAAAAAAAAATTGAGGGTGATCCGGAGAATGCGAAACGTTGGATGTAAAATATGAAAATGTCAAATCAAAGAAAATTTACTATCAAATAAAAAACCTCTAACATATTTTTTAGTAGTTCTGAAAATAAATTAACGATAACCAAAAAACCAAAATGATCTAATTTCCTTTTATTGAAATATCTCAAGAACCTGGCCTGCTATTTTCGATTAATTACCACCGCTAGATTATGCTTCGATATGCGCAACTTTTTCTTCATTTCACTGACTTTCTAACTAGTATGGTTTGGAAATTACTAATAGAATCCCATTAAAAAAGTGGCTACCCTGTATACAATGTTAATTCTATTATTCCTTTTTTTATTTTATAATTAGAGGCAACACTGTAGGATATTGTATTAAATAAATAAAAAAAAAAGAATTATTATTGGTCGTACAATTTTTGACAATTACATTAGCTGGCGTGAAAACATTAATTACCTTGAGGAAGATTTAGATGAAGTATTTATAAACAAAAAAACAAAAAACGTATCACTGCTACATCCAAGTTTTTCGAAATGTCACCCAAAAACTTCGAACTTCAAAACTCGCGCACCACTTTCGGCACCAACTACTGATTACAGGACCAAAGTATTTAACAAAATTATGTAGGGATCAACCTAGATGTCCAATTCTCAGAAGAATCGAATCGGTATAAGACTCAAAATACGTTTCAGCCGTTTTCACAGAATTAAAACAGTCGTGTACCAATAGAATTGAATCTATTCTTTTCGAAAGGCGGAGTCAATCACGTGGACTCTCTTTTGTATTATGAGCTGGTAGAAAAACCTCCCCTGCGATACGAGATGTTCTCTATAATTTCATTTGAAGATCTTAAATTATTCAGTTTGGTTAATAATTGATGAGATGGCTATGAAACGGGATCTAAATGACAGTTTGAAAGAGTTGTATTCTAAATGACTGGGCAGCTTTTTCATAATTTTCTAGAACATCTAACTGGCTATTTTCAACATTGATTTTCAATATTGAACTTGAATGGTAAATAGACGTCTAGTTTTATGAAGTTAATGAAAACTAAAATGATAATAAAATTAAATAAACTCAAAATTTGTACCACTTAATTCTCATTTATAAAAAAATAAGAGTTACAGATTTTGACTTATTAATAATTCTTTATATTCCATAAGACAGCTAAATTTTAGATATTATTTAGAAATCCACTGGAAAAAGCTTATTAAAATATTTTAGCTTGAAGTCATGACAGCGTAGTCTTTGTTTAGAATTAGTTGGATTGTTGTATTAGACAAATTTGTTTGTTTTGCTTCTAATGAAATCGATGTTTTTGGATTTTCCGCAATAACATGCCCAACAGCTTTTTAATATTTTGGGCTGTATTCAGTGGCGGCTCGTGGGGTGGCTCACAGTGACAGAATATAGATATCAGTACAGATGTATGAAAAAACTTTCAGTGTTTTAGAAAGTTTATAATATACCTTTCTAAAACACTGAGTTTTTTTACCTATATCTGTACCGGGATCTATATTATACTACTGTAAACCCCCAAAATGTTGGTAACGAGCCGCCCCTGGCTGTATCTATGTACAGACGGCCGCCCACTTTCAGTTTTTCTATTAAGGTTATCAATGTTCTTGAATAACTGCACAGAATTTGTAAAAACATTGTAGTTCAAGAAAATCTGCCATGTATTCTGGAATTGAATACTTCCACTCACCATTTTCTTTCATACTTATACGCAATTAACATTCGATAATTTTTGCTTTTTGTTCTATGTTGCATACATGGAGGCATACATTTGTTTTTAAATTACTCTATTGTCAAATTTGACATAAACGTCCAGTTTCAATTTCAAGGTTAAAATGTTATTCTATGAAAGTGATGAAAGTGGCCAAAGTACCAAAGCAAAAGATTTGAATTTTACAGCTAACTTAAATTATGATTTTTCTCGATGAAATATTATGAGTACGTGTGCAAAAAGTAAAACAATTTAAAACAAAACCATTAATAATTGGTATACAGGGTGGACCATGGAACGATTTTTCTAACTAGTTCTTGATAATTTTACTCCTGTATCATTTGAAACTTTGCATGTGATTTGTATTTATCGTTCAGGATAGTATGATAGATTTTTTGTTGGACATATATAGTTTCTTCCCCTATAATGAAGTGGAATATAAGGATTTTAGAACAATTATCATTTTACCAGTTCTTTCAAAAATTCCAGCAAAATCAGTAAAACTACAACTCATTGAATATATCGGAAACAAAATTATATAACTGTAACCTACCTCATATAGGTAGGTACCTCAATAATTTATTAGTTCCATTTATTAAATATAAATAGTGCATTCTTATTAAATTCGAAATCCTTTATTCAACGAAAAATCGCCCAGATAATTAAATCTTATTTACGATACCTAATAAATAATATCTATATACACATGCGTAAGAGATCCAAATTTCGTGCATGTGTGTGGAAACCCAGTCCAAGAAACTCTTAACGCACTTATCTTAAGTGCGTTTAAATACATTGCGTTCGGTCTACTTAACTTCTTTAACACTTTTTGCTCCAAACAACCCTTTTGGTATTCGATTTAATCCGATTAGTGACAGTTTAACACGCTTAAATGTCATTTAAAAGCAACCTAAAAAACTCCGCTTTTGTCCCGCTCCAGCCCCTGACTATCCGAACTTGCCTATAGTAACGTTGTTTTAATACACAAATTTTTCAAGGCAAGTAATAAATCGGCCACCCCTTTTCCACCCAGATTCGTTTTTCGCTGGGAACTAAGACACTGACGTCATAAAAAGCCAATAAAATGGGTATAAGAATTCGGACCTAAATGAGCTCGGATTCATTTATTTTTATTATTTGATGTGCAAGCAATTATTTTTATTTGTATTAGGTATAATATCTCCTACCTCCCGAACGCTATCAACTTCCCACGCCTTATTTCCCGATGCTTGCCGTCCCTAAATATTTCCTTCATAATATTCTTGTCGACACCCTTCGTCACGTCCTGCACCACCTAAGTATTTCTACCATATATCTGTCCCTGTGCAGTACCGTATTAAATACCTTTCTCTCCACCACGACGCTAGACGCATCAACGCAAGGTGACGCTCATAGCTGCGACGTACCTAACTAGACGCCATCACAACGCTAGATGAAATTAGTACATAATCTAACGTCTATATTTTCAATGGTGAGTCAAAAGATTTATTTTAATTTCTTTGAGATACCACCGGGGTCGTTTAGACGAGGGCCTAAAATTTGCTTCAAAATAATATTAATGTAACCAATAATCCACAAGGCTTTCAGTCATTCACCCCGAAAGACAGATTAGTCATCTGTTTTCGATAGGTGAATTTAAGTTAATTCAATAAAAATTATAAAAATCAATATTAAGAAATATACAGAGTTGTGTTAAGTTATTTCAATAGAAATGATAATAATCAATATAAAAAAATATATAGAGATGTGCTATCTTAGATATATTGTACAGAGATGGTAAAATTTAACAGTAAGTTAATCAACTGGTGAATATACTATTCGTCAGCTTAAGGGGGGACACCTATATGCTTATCCACCCGTTCTACTAGGTTTTAAAAACATGAACATAGTAAGATAACCAACTGGCGAATTTTCGTTGTTCGTTACCTCCGTTGGTCATCACCTCTATACTCGTCGAAATATTTACCTAAGAGGGTGCAACCTGTGTATATCTAGAATAGAACCAGATCACCATCAACACAGTAGTTAACCAACTGGCAAATTGGCGCAGTTCGTTAACCCCGTTGGTCATCAACCTCAATAAGAATATAGCTATCAACACAGTAGTTAACCAACTGGCGAATTGACGCTGTTCGTTGACTCCATTGGCCATCAACCTACATAAAATATATATTGATAGCAAATGGACGTGTCCGCGTTTGATCGGGACTCAAGTGAAATCTCAGTAAATAGTACCAATTGTAATATACTTTGCTAATTATTGTATCACATTTAAAGTATGAAAAAATAAAAGAGTTTAAATAAAAATTTGTATGGTTTTATTTAACAATTTGCACCAAAATTTGCATCGAATCCTGGTTTACCTTAATTAACATTATCACAACGTGGATGGATATATAAATTATCAATTAATTACCTAGATGATCACATCTACTACTAGAGCAAAAAGACCAAATACAGTAAGTATAAATTTAAAGTGAAAGTTGTGAGGTAAATAAATAGATTTCAGACGTTAAAACAATGAACAAAAGTGGGGTAAGAGGATGGGCCGTTATATTACCATTACATTAACATATGTACATTTAATAAAAAATATTTATTGTCATTTTTTGTGGTTTTTAAAAAATATAGGTAGTAATAGGTAAGTATATGAAGATAAAATTTATGTTGTATTAAAGAGTACTTAGTCACTTACATGTTTTCTAATTCTGCATTTTCTTTTTCTGCAACAGAGGCTTTATGGTTCAAATCATCACTGAAAAATTAAAAATTGAACACGTCGAGTGCAATAAACACTTTCTGCACGAGTTGCATACAATATTTTTTCTACGTTCATGCAAAAACCTAAAATGGTTTTTAAAACTGCAGTTGAATTATCCAAATCATAGTAGTCGTGATCGTGTACCTTTGTTTGAGGCATTTCTTTACATTTGTGTTCATAATTTGTAATGACATTTTTAATAAAACACATTTTTTTATTAATTTATTTATTAAATGATTGAAAATAATATGCAATTGTTTTTAAAACGTAACACAGAAAATGAAAATGGACTAAATATTTGGCGTTGATTTGAATATTTATGTTTGTCATGATCATAAAACGCTGTAATAAAATGACAGATGAGTGCAATAAAGAACCAGTTTTTTCACTAAATATAGTTCAATAAAGTTTTGTTTTTTGCATGAACGTAGAAAAATACTATTTCTTATACCTTTGGTTATCAACCAGTTTTGGAGGTTCTTTCACGTACGTATGCTCATTAGGATATTAAAATAAAGAAAATTTCTGTAATTATTTTCACCATCTACTTTCTCCTCCCTTGGTATTCACGTTATTTCAAGAATACCAATTTTTTGGGGAAGTAAAAATAAAGTTTTTAAGCATACGCACCCTGTACTAAAAGATTTACACAAGCTTCCTGCTAATCAGCTAATAAAACCAGCGAAATAAATAATTTAATCGTTTCAAAAGAATAGTAATGCATACTTTTATATAAATCAGCATAAGCAGCTACTTTCGCAAAAAATCATATATTATATTTATATACACGAAACATGAGGTAATCCCCTAATTATTAAAACTGTGATTCGTATTTTAAATTGGATTCATATTTTAAGTACATACTCACATACCGCGACGGGCATAAGACGTTACAGGATGATTCAGACGATTAAGGCGACAGATATACCTCAACAATTTTTTTTTTTTATAATTTTCGTGAGACACACTTAGTTGAGCTAAATTAACTTTTCGCGATGACTGATCAGTCTTTCATATTAAGCGATGAAGACGTCAATGTTAGTGAATAACGTTTCGACAATATTATTGTAAAAGATATTGCCAAATTCGCACCAAAAAAAGTTTTTTTAGCCACAGTGAATATGGACGTTCAAATGCAAAAAATATTTGCATAAACCAGGAGTCAGTTAATCTCTAAAAGCTGGTCATCATGTTGACACAATCTATACAGACTTGTCTAAAGCTTTTGACCGATTATGCCATTGAATTGCTTCTTAAAAAACTAACAGCAATTGTTATTTTGGTAACCATTTTAATTGGTATAATCTTACTCCAGTCATCGTTTTTAGTTGTTACCGTGCAAAATTCGGCGTCTAGTGAAGTATCAGTTACGTTCAGTATTCCAGAGGGATTTTATTTTGGCTCTCCTAAGTAACATTTTAAGCTACTTTGTTCAGCAATTTAGCTGATGTATAGATGTATACTAGTGGCGAAGTTTGAACAAGCTAACTGGCTAATCAATAGATAGCACATCCTCTTCTTATCCTCAAAAATAATATACGTTAATTAGTTTAGGGCAATGTTGAATTCCAGTAGTTCTACAGAAAAGTAGAAATGAGTCAGACTTATTACAAGTTATAAAAGAAATTTTAAAAAACTTCAAAATCATGCAAATGCCCTTAAAAATTAAAATTCCTCATAGATCATCAGATCCTGACCAACTGTATACGGAACTACCTCTAAGTTATCCCCTTTCTAACAAAAAAAAATCGGACAACGTGGTAAAGCATTATCACTGAAAATACAGAAAAAAAATATTCCGACGAATTGAGAACCTCCACCTTTTTCAAAGTCAGTTAAACAAATGTTTTTAATTATTTCCGAAAAAAATCATGGTGGATCTTTAATACAAGTACTTCAAGTACATGAAAGAGCACTAGGTATTGTCAACACTTCGGGGGTACTGGAAAACCAGAACTCTAAGAGAGAAATTGAGGACCTGTCAATGAAATAAAATTTAAAATTTGTGATACCATTTACGACATGGGAGCATTTAAAAAGTATGTATGTTATGTTGGAAATTGGGTGTTAATATACTGTTACCAAAAAGATCCATTGTGCCCCCTTCTGCCGCTAAAGCAGCAAAGAAATGTATCGATGCCTATAACAACTCTTCCAATCCTATCTTCTCAAGGAAGTATAGCATTTGAAGTGGCTTTAAATTATAAGGTACAATGCCCTCAGATTCTGGAGCGCTACATATTCAGTCAGAATGTGAATGAAGGTTTTGTCCACCTCACATAATCTGCACTTAGTATTTTACTATAATCTTATTTATCTAAGGTGTCATTTGAGTCGGTAATGCCCAGTAAGAATCCCTGGTAAAATGCGTAGCTCCATCTTTTTTAGGCAGATACAGGCTTCCGATCTTTTCTGGTTGTATTGACCCAGAAGTATCTTAGCCTGCCTTAGCCCCTTAGAGTCCCTTTCCTTGCGAGACTGAAATCTCATTATCCTTTACCCCATTTTGTAGGTATTTCCAGACCATTTTCAAGCTGATTACGTAAGAATTCAGCGCTTTGATGGACATAATGTTAAACTGGATACACCTATCAATGGCGTGAATTTCCTCCTGGAAGATTCTTGAGTATTTTCCCAAACATTCAGAGTGCCTGGTTCTAGGCCCATACACTCCTATTCCAGTTCTTTTTTTAATTTTGGAACCATCTGTATACCACTGAATAGCATATGCAACTTTATATACAATTAACAAATAAATTGTAAATGTAGGAAGAACCAGAGTCTATGAAACATTTTAAAAGGTAAAGAATTCAAATGTAGGAAAGAAGACAATCGTAAGGCATTGTGTGAGAAATTAGAAGTAGTCCAGAAGCACATTCAATTCATAAAAAGAAATGGTTCTTCGTTTGTATATTTAGATGAGACCTGGAATTTTTCGAAGGGATCTACAAAAAAAATCTGGCAGGATACAAATAGAAAATCAATAAAACATGATTGTGTATGTGAAGGCAAAAGACATAACTGTCAGTGCAGGTATGTTATGTTATGTTGAAAATAGGGTGTTAAAATACTGCGACCTAAAAGATTTATTGTGCCCCATTCTATCGCCAATGCACCAAGGAAATCTCTCAATGCCTATAACGATCCTTCCAATCCTATTTTCTCAAAGAAGTGTAGGATTTGAAGTGGCTTCAAGTTAAAAAAATCTCCCTCTTCTATTTGATATCCTCTTAGATATAGTGCCCTTGGATCCTGGAGTGCTACACATTCAGTTAAAATGTGAATTGAGGTTTCGTCCTCCTCCTCACAGAATCTGCACTCACTATCCTCTACTACTCTCAATTTATTCAGGTGTCCTTTTAGTCGGTAATGCCCGGTAGGGATCCCTGTTACAGTACGTAGCTTGTTCTTGCTCAGGCAGATGCAGGCTTCCGCTCTTTCCTGGTTATATTCACCCAGAAGTATTTTGGCCTGTCTCAGCCCCAAGAGATTGTTCCAATTATCGATTCTTCTACTGCCCAATTCTTTTTTAATCTCTTCTAATATTATGTTACTGCTGATACAGCAGAACAGCTCAGGTCCTACAAAGGGTCTTTGAGCCCCTTTCCTTGCAAGACTATCTGCAATCTCGTTACCCTGTACCCCGTTATGTCCCGGGGCCCAAGTAAGAGTAACTCTATTTTTCTCACCTAGCTCATTCAATTGTTCTAGGCATCTCCAGACCATTTTTGAGCTGATTTCGTAAGATCTTAGCGCTTTAATGGCTGCTTGACTATCGGACATGATAATTTTTTGTCTATGATAGTTTTTCTCGATATTAAACTGAATACACTTCTCGATGGCGTGAATTTTCGCCTGGAAGATGCTTGGGTATTTTCCCAAGCGTTCGGAGTGCTTGGTTCTTGGCCCACACACTCCTATTCCAGTTCCTTCTATGGTTTTGGAACCGTCCGTATACCGCTGAATAGCACGTCTTTCGGTTGCAAGCGCGATGGATTTTTGGATCCATTCTTTCTTAAAGCCTAGCTCTGTGGTTTTGAAGTTTTTACAAAACTGTACTTTAGCATTTCATCCTGGGGCATGTCCCAGGTGTCTTTAGTCCTGAAGCAAGTAGACTTTCGTCTGATTACTTCGTTCCTGATCATTCTATATCGTGTCCTTTTTGCCACATTCTCTATCATCAAATGTAGAGGGGTGAAGTTTAAGATCACCTCCATTGCGGCCGTAGGACAGGTTCTCATTGCATCAGTAATGCAAACACAGGCTAGTCTTTGTACTTTTCAGATATAAGCTCTCGTAGTAGCTAAACTAGTTCTGTTACTCCAGGCTATAGCCCCGTAAGTGATGATTGGTCTCACTATTGCAGTATACATCCTTCGTAGTATGTTTGGGTTGCATGCCCATCGTTTACCTGCAATGTTTCTGCATACCATTAGGGCTTTTGTGTTCTTATTTACTACTTCCTTCTCATGTGTGTTCCAGATAAGTTTGTTGTCCAGAGTTAGGCCTAGATATTTGTCTTCATTTTTCCATTCTTTATCTATCCCGTCTAATTTAACGGTTTTGAGATTAAGTTTTCTTTTCCTTGAAAAGGCTACTACTGTTGTTTTTGTAGGGCTTATACTAAGTCCCACTTCATAGCACCATCTTTTGGTGTGTTCTAGTCCTCGTTGGACTATATCACACAGGATATTACTAAACTTGCACACTAGCAAATATGACTATGTCGTCAGCATAACCTTGACAGGGTATGTCGAGGTCAGTCAATCTGCATACAAGTTTGTCTACGATTAGGCTTCATATTAGTGGGGATATAACTCCTCCTTATGGATATCCTCTGGTTGTGCAGATGGAGATGGTGTCCTGCCCTATCTGTATCTCTGCAGTTCTCGTAGATAACAACTGAGCCATCCATCTGGATGTGATTTTATCTACTCCTCTGTATGTAAGTGCTCTTTTTACAGATTCGTGTGACGTGTTGTCAAAAGCTCCTTCTATGTGTACGAAGGCACACACGACCGTTTCTTTGTTTGTCAGTGCATCCTGGATTACGTCAGTCAACTGTACCGGGGCAGCTTCTGTAGATCTTGATGCTCAGTACGCGTGTGGCGGAGTGGCACCCTCTCCAGGACTTCCGTTCTGATATAATTATCAACAGCCTTCTCCATTGTTTTTAATACAAAGGATGTGAGGCTGATTGGTCGGAAGGATTTAGGATGTGTGGTATCCTTTTTCCCTACTTTTGGAATAAAGGTGACTCTGGCCCTTTTTCATGCTTCTGGTATATATCACAGCTCCAGACTGCTCCGGGATAGCCGGATTATGTGTGGTAGTAATTCCTCCTGTGTGTGCTGAAGCAGGGCAGGAAATATTCCATCCACACCTGGAGACTTAAACGGTTCAAAAGTGTTTATGGACCACTTTAACCGATTTCTGCTGCATATGTGTTTGGCCACTACAGCGGCCTCTCTTGGGGGCCAGCTTACTCTAGTTGTGTCCCTTATTAGAAAAGGTGTGCTTCCAGGAAAGTGAGTTTCGAGTAAGAGGCGAGCTCTTTCCTCCTCACTCTCCGTGAAGCTTCCATTTGGTTTCTTTAATGCCATAACTGTATCAAATTTCCCTTTTGCCAGGGCCCTGTGCAGTCTCGCTGCCGCAGGTGTAGAGTTAATATCCTCGTAGAATTCTTTAAATCTGTTACGTTTAGCTTTTCTGATTTCTTTGTTGTAGGTAATAAGTGCCTCGGTGTAGCTTTGCCAATCTCCGCTGTGCTTGGCCCTATTATAGAGCTTCCGCAGTTCGGATCGTAAGTTTGACAGATGACGGTTCCACCAAGGAGCATCCCTACTAGTTCTATTTCTTTGAATGGGGTAGCTTGATGTATATGCCTCAAGTATTGCCCCATTAAGTTCTTTGAGATCGCTTTCCAGAAAAAGTGGGTGCCCGGACAATCTAAGCTACAAAGCAATGGCTAAACTACAACCAACCTCGCCGTCAGTGCAGGTAACGAGGATGGTTTTATTTTTGATGCAGACTTAATTTTTAATCTTTTCTAAGTGGTTGAAAGAAAAATTATGTTAATTTAACCGCATTATAAACAATTCTATGATTAATGCATAGGTAGGAATGGTCATAGTGATAAAACTGTAAGAAGCATGTGGAGTTAAGCTCTAAATATTACTATACCAGCAAATTGGAAGAAAAATTATGTCCAAAAAACATAAGAAATTATTTCCGATTGATGGGAAAGAAAACAGATTATAAATGAAATAACTCAATTATAATTAATGTTGATAACAATAGCGACTTATCAGATTCAGAACAATAAAATACAAAATGTAGGGTAAGGAAATAATTAAAAATATTTTTAACATTTTAACTTGTTTGTTTAGATAATTGTATGTTTTTATTATTAAAATAAATTTAATAACTTTTTAATTTTACGAGAAAACAGGCAAATTTATCTCTCAATAGGGTAGTCATGGTAAAAAATCTATAGTTTAAAAACAGATCTGAAATGTGCCCTTGAAGGGGCTAGATTAATTATGCGCGTACAATAGAAAATTGGACTTTTTCTTAAACGTCAAAAAATAAAAAGAATTGACAGTAAAAGAACGGATAATTGGAAGAATCTATTGGGTCTAAGACAGGCTAAGATACATCTGGGTGAATATAAACAGAAAAGATCGTAAGCCTGTATCCGCCTGAGCAAGAACAGGCTACACATTGTAACAGGGATCTTTACCGGGTATTGCCGACTCAAAGATACATTAGTAGTAGAAGAAGATAGTGAGTGCAAATTATGTGAGGAGGAGGACCAAACCTCCGTTCATATTCTGACTAAACGTATAGCACTCCAGAATCCAAGGACACTATACCTATAAGCATATTAAATAAAAGAGAGATTAACCTAACTTAAAGCCACTCAAAATCATACATTTCTTTGAGAAGAACACTATTTAAGTCAAATTGTGTACTTTTATTCAGCTAGTTGTTACAGGGAATTAACTTAATGCTAAAGAAGTCCAGATGTAGTCTTAAATAATTACACTACTCATCAGCAGTTAGAAATACGGTGCACAATAGCCTGGAAGAGCACTATTTAAGTATTTATTCACCTAGCTGGGGTATAGGCTAAACATAAAACTAAAGAAGCTTTGTTGTAATCCTAAAGTATACCACTGATCAGCAATTGATGTTAAAAACACATTTATGGCTCTTAAAAATAATAAATCCGTTGGATACGAGAAATTGCAGACAGAACATTTAAAATTAATATCAGATTTTATAATAGTTCCTCTTGTTTATATTCTTAACAAACATATAGATCTCAGTGTGTACCCCTCTGCTTTATTACAAATTACCTAACAACAGGGACAACTAATGAGACGGTTAACTCAATGCAATTTTTCTTTTCACCATGAATTGTTTTAATAGTGGCCTTTTTCTTTATAAGCAAACGGTCAAATTATAATTTTTTTTTTTAAAAAGAAGAACCGCGGGAAATTCAAATATGTAGATCCACTTTATCTATTATTTTTATGATTTTTTTCTGATTTGATGCACTGGAAATGTGAATAAATATGTAATTCACATTTACTAGCACATCAAATCAGAAAAAAAAATCATTTTTTTTTAGGCACACAAAATAAAAAGCATTAAAAAGGAAAATAAAATGAAGTATGATTTCAATAATAAGATATATTCTGTATTAAACAATAATAAACATTTACACCACAAAGGTTCTACAATAAAATTGAAATACTTACTTTACGGAAATTAAACAAAATCCCGGCGTGATCCGGGCATTGTTAGTTTCTTCGGGTTTGTAAACAAACTTAAAACTACCTAATATGAAAACACCACGATAAAAATGTCATTTACCGGGGAAAACACTAAACTAACAAATTTAAATACGTAACTAATAATGAATGAAAAACAACAAAAAAAATAAATTTACAAGTTAAATTGTAAAATATATATAAGTAAAACGACACCAAAGTCACCAAACATAGAAACAAAAAATTGGACAAGGAGATAAAATGATAGGTTAGAAATACGTCAATCTGGCAAACGTCAAAGTGAAATGCTCGTGCTGTAATGCCAAACTTATTTTCTTCTAGTGCTATTGACTTTTTATTTTTGATCTTTGTACACAATCCTGCTTTATATTTCTTAAAACACATCTTTTGTTATATATATTATATACAAAGAAATTAAAAGTCCAATATAAGTATTACTTATGGATAAATAAGATCATTATTATTTAAATGTAAAAGTAGCAAATTTGGAAAATGTTCATAACGGCAACATTGCTGGAACGTTACCAGCGACATCTTCCCTATCTTTTAGCTTATGAGAACAAAATAACGTTATAAGGAAATAATGTACATGACAAAGATAAAATACCAGCTGACCCTGATGACTACTATACCTAAATGTCAATCAATTTTTGCTATGAAGTTAACCGTCTCGTGTTGTCTCTGCTATCAATGTATGGAGGGTAGAGAAAAGGAGGACAATCTTATATGGATCTTTATATTAAAAAGTGGCCACAAAAATGTATACAATTAAGATGGCGCTCGTGTAGCCAGGGGACAAAATCCAATGCTATATAGTCATATAGATTGCTCATTCATAATTAAATCAGAGAGGAAGCAGTAAATTGAGACCTCCGTGCCATTTTAATATAAGAATTATTTATTGTTTATATTATTATTTTTCAATAAAATTTGACTATTGTCGTGTATTGTCAAAATTTATCTACGATCACAGAACACTTACTCTTCTACGATCAGTCACTTTTCACGGTGTAGTTTTTAGTTTTTTATGGTTGAGCAATATTTATTACTATATACATCATTGGTGTCATTGTGTGATCTGAATTGTCGACTGTCGACGTCCCCTGGGCACAGAAGCGCCATCTTAATTGTATATATTTTGAGGGACACTTTTTGTATACAGAGATTGTTCTCCTTTCCTCTACCCTCCATATATCAATGTCACTTTTCAGTCATCTTTCAAAAATTTTTATGTAAATTATTAAAAAGAGGCTTACTTAATAAATTTAATATACTTTCAAGTTATCAGTTTGGATTTAGGGAAAACATCGCCACGGAAGATGCGATTCTTTCACTAACATCAAAAGTTGCCAAAATTTTAAATCAGGGTAAGTCATTACTCTGTATATTTATTGATTTGAAAAAAAGCTTTTGACACTGTCAGTCATCATCTACTCTTACAATCTCTAGAAGATATTGGTATAAGAAGCTATATTCTTCAATTATTTAAAAGTTATTTAACACTAAGATGTCACACAGTAAGAGTGGATGATGTACTGAGCAGTGAAAAAGTGATTGACTGTGCAGTACCTTAAGGATCCGTGTTAGGACCCACATTATTTAATATATACATAAATGGTTTTTACTGATTAAGCGGAAATGGAAACATCGTACGGTTTTGCAGATGATACTGCTATCTTCTACAAAGCTACTAGTTGGTAAGAATTGAAAACAGAAGCAGAAACGGATTTCCGTTTAATAAAATATTGATTACAGAAAAAAACTACTAACACCAAATGTTGATGAAACGTATCACCTACCTTTCTGCTGTAATTTCTCTGGACTTCCTAATTTTAATAAGCTAACAATGGGATTTACACATAAGGTATACAGTAAGCAAGTTAAGGACAATTTTAATCTAAAATTTAAAAAAACTGAAAGATATGTTAGCAATACCTTATCTTAAAATGTTATTCTATTCTTAAGTGGAAGTCACATTCGTTATGGAACAGTGACATGGAGAGATGCGTTAAAAACATATTAATACCCGGAAAGTTATACAAAGGCGTTTTCTAAAACCTATATTCTGTAAATACAGTAGATATCCCTTGGACAATCTCTGCTCTGAAACCCAAATTTTAGATATAAGACAAATTTATGTTTTATGCACAACTATTAAATATCACGTAAGTAAACATTCAGCACTGCTTTTATCTCATTAATACGAAACTCGTCAAAGACACTATTGATGTTCAAAACAGTAACTCAAAGATCCTACGGCTATTATGCTACAAAACTATACAATTATATTCCTGAGAATCTAAAATCCTTGAGAAATAAAGACAGGCTTAAAAAGGTCTTACAAAAGTATCTTCTTCAAAGTCAGCCAACAGATTTGTTAACAATGTTCAATTCTGTAGTTTAAAATTAGCTGACTATTCACTGATAGAGGTCGATGTTATTTATATCGCTTCCTCAAAAATATGAAACAAGCTGCAGAAAGGATAGTTCGGTTTTGTTTGATACCATTTTTTTTTAATATGAACTGACGGAAGAATTAACCCTAGAGCGGTATCGTACGTAAAATATACGTGTAGTTTGTAGCGAAAGGGCACTCTCCACTAATTCTTTTGAGTCAAGATCTTGAGCTTTCAGCAGTGCCTCAGGAAACATTGACTTGTGAAGATTTCTAGGTGTCAGAGTTGCAACTATTTAGCAAAAGAAGATGTGGCTTGATTTTAAAAAGTATACACGTAAGAAATACGCATCGATACCAATAAGCAGTTATTTGTTGTACGTTTATCTGACGTGTCGCCAAGCTTAAAATTTTAGACTTCGCTTATTTCTTAACGACTGTCGCTGCAAATAGCCCTATGTGTCTTTTACAATATGATAAACATGGCTTGCATCAATTCATACATAATTTAGTCTTACAATGTTAATGCATTAGGAGGTAAAACTTTAACACGTTTTGAGTACTTCACAAAAGTCGTATTAAACCATGGCAATTACAACGTCAACAAACAGGATACCTAAGTACAGTTAGTACAATAGATATTAAAGAAACCTTTTTACCCAGTACAAATATCGAAGGAGAGGGGATCAAAAAGGGACCTCTGCCACCTTTGTCCTACATTCAAGAAAATAATGGCAACTACTTACTGCGTAAAATGTACCAAAACAGTATGTAGGGAATAAAAAATAAACATGTGCACGTGTTTTGAAAAAAATCAAATGAAAAAATGTTCTCTCTATTTTAAAATTCCGTTACTGTAATTTTTTCATTTTAAAATATTGTTTTGTTACTAAAATATGTTAAAAACACTATTTTATGTTCTGATAAAAAAAACTAATAAAACAGGTAATTTTACAAAGTGTACATGTAAAAATTTGCGAATGCGTAAATTTTACGTGTCCATACCAACAAGCGGTAGAAATTAAACGATACCGTTCTAGGGTTAAATATAATGTCGCTGAAATAATGTTTTCATAGTACTTTTTTTCTAACAGTATTTACGTTATATTTAGTGGTACCCTAAAATGTGTATAATTTGACAGGTTGTTAGATAGGTTAAGACACTCACACAGGTAGAAATCATCGCTAAAATGGTCAAAACGAACTCAGGAGTCCCAAAAACGTAAAGATCCTTCGAAAGAAAATTTAATTTCTATACTTTCCTTACTGGATACATGAAAGTAAAAACGTTAAACTTATCAAACAAATAAAAAAAAACATTGATCTAGAATAACCCTGTAAATTACAAAAATTCTTAGACGAAACACATGCACCAACCGAAAATCCATTACCATTGGTTACACTAGTACCATCTAATAGTTCTTCCATTGGTCGAATCGAATTCATGCACCTGAACGGTGTTTAGGTATAAGACTGACCAAGTCGCTTTCACTGAATGTTGTCTTGAAATAATATTCTCACAGTGTGGACCCGCATTACATAATATATCATCACCTAAAAAACTAATCGTGCTGTGACTTTTAGTGTTGGATTTATATTTCTCTCGTTTGCTGTAATTTAATTTCAAGTAAGTTTTATCATTAAGAGTTTAGACAAATAAAAGAAAATAAATTTAGTTACTACGCTTTTAAGATGTAGCATTTATTACAAAATTCATAAAAGTTTTGATCACTCAATTCTTCATCATCATCATCATAAGAGTTTTATAAAAGTGTTATACAATTATTTATCTTTAAATTACAAAAACAAAGTGTTCAATCACAGGTAGGTTTATTTCTAATTTTTGCTGGTTCGAACCACTGTTTTGAAGATTTTATAAAATACAATTTCCTTACTTATTTTCGATCATTAAGAATGGGACACAGAACAACTGAACATTTTCTAATTAAAAATAAGACGATTAAACGAAAGATGCTTAGATAAAATATTATTTGTAAATACGAAATTAAAGTTAAATATTCAAAACTTATTATTGACAATATTTTTTTGATTTAAATAAATATTGCCAATGGAGTTCATTCCATCTATATTTTACACCACTATCCAAAAACTTAATTAGACTATACTTTTAAATTTTTTGATTTTTTTTAAATATATCATAAATATACTCTTGTTGGGAACCTATAAAGCGATTGGTTTTCGAGATGTTCACACTCAAAGGTGGATACTCTTCATTTGAATTTAATTTATTTTGAGTTTTATACTATTAAATTGATTTTAAAAAGTAAAAGAACTTCTATCCTTGAAACAAACAAAATAAATTAAGGTACGTCAAATCAGAATCAAGTCCCTTTTGAACATGGCTACCTTGGAAGAACGCCTGCAGAACCCAAAAAGTAAAAATTTTGAGATGATATTTTAAACTGAACTTTATTGGAATTATAAAAATCATAGCATATATCAAACTTATGAATTTAAAAGAACCTGAAGAAGAAAATTTTGTATATTAAATTATTTAGGTCAATAGTGGTACAAGTCCAAATATAATATAAATAGGTAAAAATAATTATCAATAAATATGGGAAACACCAACATAATTCATAATAAAACATCTAAAAAGGTATATAATATACAAATAATGTGTTGACTTTATTTTTAAGAAAACTAGTGTAACTCTAAATGTGACGGTTTTACTTAAATAATTTGATTGAAATCTTTGCACTTTCCAAAATATGATAATTTTAAACAAATAATAACTTGTACTACTCAGAACGACTAGTAAACAACATAATATATAACAGTTTGGCCTCTAAGGGAAATACCATTTTACAGATATCAAAACTAACGTAATTGCCAGTTTTCTTTATGAGACTCTCGCATATAAAAATTAGTTTTAAGTTGTATGTATGCAAAAAAGTATAAAATCATATATTTAGTTGTGCCAGTTTTTTTTTTTCAAGGTAACAACATTATCACAACCTATTGTTTTAGCTTCACTCGTCCCTTCAAAAATATTCTGAAGCTATGAAAAATCACCAAACAAAATAAACACGCAAATAATTTCATTATTTTACTTTTATGTCAAATTCTATATATGTGTGTCTTGACAGTTCCACTCACATGAATATTTCAATAATTAATTAAGGTCAAGAGCAATTATTGCTTAGGTTATTGATGTCTCACACATATAAAAGTTGTTTTCATTTCGTAATTTCGATATTATATGCTTCTTTAAAAATTTGTCAAAGTTTTCAAAATTCTGAGTACCTTAGCAGCCTGTAACGTATAACACAACTTTGATGCAAGGCTACTTTTATGATATATTTTTTAACGAAATAGTAACTTTATTATCTATATAATATAAATGGAGAAATTAATGTATAGGCGTTTTGAAAAATGTTATAGTTATAGTGTTATATTTATAGTTATAGTTCAGCTCTCACTGCTTGAATAGGGGGGAATCACGACAAATAAAAAATATATAAATTTAATTAAGAAGCTGTATGTTTCTGTTTTAAATTTAGAGAATTACTTAATTTTTATATATTTTTGCATTAGCGGTATTCAATGCATCAATGTGTCCAAAATTCAATAAAGCGATTCCTAAGGGTCTGTATTTGGGCCGTTGTTTTTTATAATTTATTTTAATGACTTAACATACAAACCTACTATTATGCTCCATATATTTTAACTAACTTGTGACGCTTTCTACTTATGAAATCTTCAATGAAATCGTTTAATTCTAATTTTGTATTAAAAAAAAACCTCTTGTAATTGACGTCAGAGATTTATTTCGGAAAGTACCTTTTTACGCACAAAAATAATTATCATAACACGAATTCTTAAAAATAGAAAAAATAAAAATCTCCAGTGCCTACTACAAATTATTAATTCATTGTTGAATATTTATTAGAACAGGTTTTTATTAAAAATATATTTTCTCACTCGTTCCTCAATCGATATTTAACCAAA